GAAAAACACAGCAAATGTAAATTTTATAATTTGTATTTCAAAATTTACCTTTAATTTTACAGATGCCAACACAGCATTTGATTGAGGATGGTAGTTTGCCAATCTTTTATGCCAACAAACTTCAGTATCTGAATTTTGGCCGACCAGTCATTGTACTTAGTATCCTTGACCTCAGCACAATATTTAAAATGTATTCAGTTGATTGTGAAATAGCTATACCATTTACAAGTTCCTTTTTAGATAAATTTATATTTGCCTTGACTTCCTTATTAGATGCCTATGAGCTGTATATGTTTCACCTTGCCTACCATCTCGTCAATCCGAGTGTTCAGCGACACAACTGTAACTGGAGTAACATAACTGACTCTCTGTACCCTGTACTGATTGATGATTACCTGAATTATTTCTTGCCATTGAATAAAGACAGTCTCCCTAAGATGCCCACAGTCCAAGCAGTTGTTCGTAGTCCAGTTGTCCACTCTCCAATGGCAGGGTAATTACATGTAGTCAGCAACGCCATGGAAATAAGATGGAGAGATATTTAAAAAATGTGAGAATTTGACAAAATGCTTTTTACAAAAAGTTATTAATTATTCCCCCTTTTACAGGAAGTCCTTTAACATGCCCTCCTCTCCGCCTTCCCCACAGCGACCCAGTCTACTGAAGTCGAGCTTTGTGTCAGCCCAGAAGCAGCACGCCCAGACAGCAGCAGTGATAACTCAAGGGGAGACAACTGAGACCTACCGATCAGACACTCTCATACAGGTAGGGGGTGTGACAGTCCATTAGGGGACATGACTGTCCAGTAGGGGGTCGTGACAGTCCAGTAGGGGGCGTGACAGTCCAGTAGGGGCCATGAGTCCAGTAGGGGCGTGACAGTACAGTAGGGGTCATGACAGTCCAGTAGGGGTCATGACAGTCCAGTAGGGGTGGTCAGTGGGTCTTGACAGCCATAGGGGCATGACAGTCCAGTAGGGGTCATGGCAGTCCATTAGGGGTATGGCAGTCCATTAGGGGTCATGACAGTCCAGTAGGTGTCATGACAGTCCATAGGGTTGTGATAGTCCAGTAGATGTCATGACAGTCCAGTAGGGGTCCTGACAGCTCAATAGAGGTCATGACAGTCTAGAGGGGTCATGACAGTCCAGGGGGTCATGACAGTCCAGTAGGGGACATGGCACTCCAGTAGGGCATGGCAGTCCAGTAGGGGTGGTGACAGTCCAGTAGGGGTCATGACAGTCCAGTAGGGGACATGGCACTCCAGTAGGGGGCATGCAGTCCAGTAGGGGTGAGTGACAGTCCAGTAGGGGTGGTGACAATCCACAGTTTGCATCAACAAATCAGGTTTCAGGGCTTTCAGGAAGATTAGAAACAGGCAGTACAAAGATAGGGGTATTGCAATTTTAATTAACGTCTTACCGAATTTCTCTCCATCAAAAATTGTGGCTTATGCAATCATGATTTCATCTTGGTAAAAATACTAGACACTGGCAATTTTTGAAAGGCCTGTGTTTAGATCATAGAATACCTGTGCTAACCTGTGGTGTAAGTGGATATGTATTCAGACCTAAAAGAAATGTTTTTGTACTTGTAGGTGTTTACTGAGTTTTGGTTAACCAGAATCCCATCAGCATTGACCGACAATCATTCTCTCATACAGCCTCGGTAAGCTTTTGACTACAGTTCATTATTTTCTTCCTTTCAGTGCATTTGCAGTTATCACATGAAAATTTCTTAGGATTTTTTAAAGCTAGTACTGTGTGCAAAAACAATCAAATAATTTCTTTTTTAAATTTTGAATTATTAAGTCTGTATTACATGTAATTAAATATAAGTATTTTATCTGACAAGCCACCGTATGACCTGAGATTACAAAGAGGACGTACCAATACTGGTTTGTGAGTACTTTGGTACACTTCGCTGTAGTCTTGTTATCCTGTAAACCAGCTTGGCTTGTACATTTATACAGTTTTAAGTTTTGATTAAAACAGAATTTTTGAAAGAAAGATATGTGGTTTTAGCTTAGGGAAAAAATATCTTGAATTGTTCTAATGGTGTATGATATTGGATGGACAATATTCATGTATACCTGTCTGTATACAAATGTACCATTTAATGCTATGCATGCAATAGTTGTTGAGAAAATTTTGCATGTTTTCTATTTTCTTGAAAGGAAGTACAGTAATGCTTATTATACTAAAAACCAAATTTAAAAATGTCAAAACATACAAGCAGTGTTGAACTTCATAGATTACCTTGAGCATGGCAATCCAAATGTTATTGTGTTTGGTCTGAAATTGGCATGCAATACATTGTTACAAGAGTTTATAGCTTTCAACGTATAAATCACCTGAAAAAGAGAGTAAGGTTACTACTACATTACATAACATGAATGAAAGTGTTTTTTTTTTACAGTTCAGTTTTAATAGATGAAGTACATGGCATTGCATACATTTTATTTTTGAATCTCATTAATGTGTAAGATAATTTTCAGGAGAATTTCATGCCCAGCACGAACCATGTACGCCTGGTGAGAATGGTGCTGGTGAAACACGTACATAACTTTGTCAACACCGCTAAACCTGAGGTAGTCTCCTCACCCTATCAAAGTCACATCACTTCAACACTAGACGAGTTCAAAAAGTCAGTACAGCCTACAACAATAATTACTGTTTTCTGTTTTTAAAATACGTATTCTTAATTTCTTTTCTGTAGTTAAGTTTGAAAAAAAGTCTATATAAAGACCAAAAAAAAAAATTCCAATGAATTCAGCAGCATGTAATTCTTGGTTTCTAATCTTTAAATCTTAAGAAAAAAAATATCCTTCATTACAGTTACAAAGATAAAAGATGCACATTTCCTCTAGGCTAATATCTGCAAAGTACTTTTTTCTGCAGTGGTTTTAATTACGTATGTACGCGGTCACAAATTTTCTGCGGAAATTTGTCCAAGCACATGTACTTTATATAAATGTAAGGCATTTACTGACAGTCTAAGAAATCTGCGTAATTTCCTACCCACGGATTAAACAGAATTGAAATTCTGCGGAATTATGACCCCGTGGAAAAAAGTACGTCTACAGTATATCTGATACATACAGGTTTTCATTAATCAAGATTTTTACACAGGTCCCTGATACCTACATAATACAGAAGAAACTCTATACATTCCTCGACATGGCTTTGATAATGGCCGTGGACTGTTCCTTCAGACTTGTAAGTTGAAGATTGTTTAAATCAATTAAGGATTCAATTATAAATATTTTTCTTCTCATTTGCTACCATGGAAGAGAGTTATTTATTAATATTTCCATTGCTATTTGTTTTCTCTGTGATAACTCTTTTAAAGTTAGTAGAGTTGCTTTCTTGATCATTCTACTGGTATGTATTGTAAATTTCACAATGAAGTAGGTTAGGAGCTAAGGAGGCCTAATATGCATGTAAATCTATGCGGCTGTCTTTGTGTTTGACATCAGTGGGAGGACTATTGAAATTGACATAGGAGGCCTCGTGTAATTTAAATTGATTAGTCTGTATTTTTAAAACAGACCTTTTGTAGTTGTTAGATTGAAATGTAAATTCTGTGCCTCAAAAATTTTATACTGGATGGGAAGTGTTCCTATTATTGATGTCTCGACTTTACATTTAAAATTTGTTTCTTGTAGCTTTTAGAGACATGGTTGACCTACATTCAGCCCTGGCGGTACATTTACAGTAAGTCCCAGACAGGACGGAGGGACAGTGATGTTGGAGACCATAAAACAGTGGAGGAAAAATGGTCAGTATAACAAAACACTCAATCAGTAGAAATCAATAAAACAGTGCAGGAAAAGTGGTCAGTTTATCAAAACACTCTATTGAAATGCCAGGAAAGGAAGAAAATCATTCAGATTTTCCTTAAAGGGAAATATTGAAAATTTTTGAAAAAAAAACATTTTTAAGAATCAGAGAAGTACATGTATGCTTACCGGTAAGTGACTGAAGTAATAGTGCAATATTATAGTAATCCTTAAAATACTTATCTACTCTGTACATAGTAGGTTTCCCTTTGTGGAGGGTAATTTTTTTTATACCCTTCTATTCGGAGTTTACACAGAGGGTGTTCAGGATGGATCTTTCTACAC